TTTATATGCGCTTTATAGTCGTGAAGATACGGTATGTCTTCTTTTCTTTATGCCATAGATTTATTTAGGTAACGAAGACACTCCTTCGAAGTTTGACCCATGAAAACTTAATACCAGCTTATTATTGAAGCTGATCTGTTGACTGCACATCAATAATAAAAAAAATCTCTTTTCATCATATCCAAAAGGTGCCCTACTGAAGTGAAGTCTAATAACTGTAGAGGCTGTTGGAGTACATACAACACATTGCCATGTAAAACAAACCAGATAAAGATGATTAATTTGTGACATGGTGCCTTTTCTTGTTGGAAGTAATCCACGTGCAACTGGGTACACATGTGATAAGAACGTATTAGACATCAGAAGCAATACTCTGGCACTAAGAGGCCCAAAGTACCTCAAGAAAATGTATTCAACACCACTGCACTATTAACACAAGGCAAAACCAAATTCTGACCCTATCATCTAAATTGCTGCAATTCAAACTGAGAACCGCCATTTTTAAAAATCTAATATTGAAAAGTATTTGTTAATCTATATGAACTGCAGAGTTATATTTATGTTGTTGATTGACAGAATTGGGACCCAAAGGATTTTACTGTTCAGCACAGTTCAGTGTCATGAATTATAGCCTACATAGCTTAGCTGTAATGTTGCAGTTGTTTTTCTATCACCTTAACCCAGTCTACCTATTCTCATTTGACCTACCAACAAGGCATTTTTTGTCCTCACAGCACCTGTTTTTTTTAGATATTTTATCCTTTTTGGACCATTCACTACAAACATAAGAGATGTGGGTGAAAATCCCACTAGATCATTTTATAGAATCCTGAAAAAAGCCTTTCTGCCGCAAACAACCAAGATATTTAAATTCCTATCCCATGTCCTTATTTTAAAAATCAGGACATTGTCTCCTAGAGGTCTTTAATTCCTATTGCATTGAGGCACTGATTTGCTGACTACACATCAACAGGTGTGAAAGTAAGTCAGTGTAGAACATTGATTCCCAAAGCTGGGGTCATAAGGTCAGTCAGGGGTACACCCTGGACAGCTCGCCAGTCAATGCAATACACACACTCACACCTAAGGACAATTTAGATTAACTAGCCATTAACCTAACAGTCATGTTTTTGGACTGTGGGAGGAAGCCAGAGTACCCGGAGAGAACCCACGCATGCTCAAGGAGAACATGCAAACTCCATGCAGAAAGACCCAGGAATCAAACCCAGAACCTTCTTGCTGCAAGGCAGCAGTGCTATCCACTGCGTCACTGAGCAGCAGTTATAAGGTCACAGATCAACAAATATGGGTTTTTGAGATACAGTATGGACATTAAAATAAACTATAAATACAATACTGATGAAGGATATCTGTGTGTTTACGGATATTAAATCATCACATAACCAAATACTTTATCTACAGTATTGATGCTGTTATGACCTTTTTACAGTAACTATGGCTTAAAGTTGTTTTTATTGTTATTTTTTGTATTCCAACCAACAGTTTGGGTCATAAGAACATTCTGCTAAAATGTTTGGGGACCACTGGTGTAGAGTATGGTGGTCAGTCAAAGAACTATAAGTATAGTTTTGTGGAAATCTACATACAGTAGGTGATGTAAATCCATTTTATAGACTATTTTTGCATTCCTATCTAATTAGCTTAAGTCAGAAATACTCAATGGAAAAAGATGGCTTGCTTCTTCTACAAGCCACCTGTTGTACATTGGTCTATAAAACATGTGAGGTCAGATTTATTCAAAAGGATATCGGCTCTTCTGTACATGAGAAGCACAGATATAATAGTCACTGGTGAAAGATTTATTATTACTAGCAATGCTTGAATATTTTATTTTCACAAACACAATATAGCATAAAACCAAACAATATGGTTCTGTCTATTACAAACTGGTTGTGAAAAAATGCAAACAATTTACTCTTGAAAAATAAAAAGGTTTGACCCGTCATCTTAAGGCACTTTTCAAGAAACATTTTTGTTGAATCCAGTTGATACTCAAGTTATACTCGACTTAAGAGTATAATTACAAAACTAAGACTTTACTAGTGTTTATGCTAATTCTAAAAGGGATGCAGTTTTGAAGCATAATAGCTCTTATAATATATAGTAAAGAGGTTCCAATTTCACAGCCATTTATAGATTAGTGTCTCTACTTTGTTATAAGATGAGCAGAATATGAATTCTACCATTGTCTAACCGAGCTCCTTAGTGGTCAGACCTGAGTTAAACTGTGATGTAATCCTTTCAAACATGTGGCACTACTGTTTTTCTCTAGCTCCACTAACAGCCAATTACATTGTCTATCTCAGCTCATTCAACTGCAAACACAACTTTAGCTCAGTGATGTAGATATAGACACTGGTCTTGTCTGCAAGTTAGACAGCAAATACAGTTCCCCATTTTTTTTAGCCCCGTTTTCTAAGCCCGAGCAGCTTTGTGTGCGTATGGGCAGAGGTTCTACTTCCCTTCATTAATAATTTCCAAATGGAAAACGGAAATTATGAAGCATTTTTCTTTTGTCAGTGGAAAAAGGTTGCCTGTATTCCTCTGGGTAAATTGTGGCTTGTCAGATGTTCCAGTGAACACACCTAAAGGCAGGGTTTATGCTGGCGCAGCTTAAAGCACCATTCCCCCTCTACATGCTTGATTTTGAGTCGCTGGAGCTGTTTTTAGAGCTTAGGTCAAGGCTGTGCTTTTCACTGTGTAACTGTGAAAGACTTTTTTCTTACTGCTTACTGTATATTCCTCTAAAACCTGACTTGAACACTTCTTCCTGTCTAAGTCAGAAAAAATTAACCAATTTCAGCTGGTTTCCACTTGAAGAACATCAGTTCTTTCCTGCAACATGTTTACTTGTGTTATAGAGAGGATGAGCCAAACTGAACAAAAATAAGTATAAATGCCAGAATACATGTGGGAATAAACTTTTATAGCTAGTGACAGGTTTTGCTGCAGCAGAAAAAATGTAAATATTTGAGGAAGATTTTGGTTCTTGATATTCAACATATCTTGTCAAGTCAGTACTACAAAAAAAAAGAAGGTAAAATGCTTTAGAAACATAATCCAAGGGGGGAAGGAAAGTCTTTCACAACAAGTTACTAATTATCTTAACTCCCACATCTGTTTTAAGGTTTGTAGAAATGTAAGAATTTCACTGGATCATAAATCAAATTATTAAAAGGCGACACTGTACATTTTCAAACTGAAAGTACACCATGGGCCACATTTTTCAGTGTATGCAGTAAGTTACAACAACAAAATTAATTTAGAAAGCCAGAGCCTAAAGGAAGGGTTGACATGTGCTTTGGATTATTAACAAGAACAACTCGTGGACCAATGCTGACAAAACAAAAACATTTTAAAAAGAGTATTTATTGAAGTTCAAAGCAAACCGGTTGCATTTCATTACAACAATATATTCAATATAAAATTCATGTTTTAAATTTTTTAAACTTGCTCTAAGCTATTAATGAATATAAACAAAATCCAGACGTTTTACAAGATCATATGTAATGTTAATTGATACTTGAATGTTTGTCTCATTACAAATTTACAAAAAATACATATTCATTACAGTTTTACCTTTATATGTTTAAATGTTATAAGAGTTGTAAATCTGCCACCAAATTAAGGAATCATCCTTATATCATTAAGGAATCCTGAAAATTGTAGGTGATTTATTGATATCTCTACATTTCAGAAAAGAGTTTGATAGTACAATTCCTCCTTATAATCATTGTTTATTTGTCTGTCAGTAATCAAATTATTATAAAATAAACAGAATCTTCATCTAGGATGGTTCATTTGTGTTCTGGTGGGTTTCCAGCTTGGAGGTACATCTTTGGGAAAAAATAGAGGAACCCATGAGGATTTTTGCTGTTTGTTTAAAAAAATCTAAACAACACTTGCTTTGCATAAGATTTCCCAAACTTTCATTACAAGGTTAAAGACATTTGTGAGACTTGCTACTAATTGCTGTGTTGTTTGTCACTAGCAGGGTCTAAGCACCTAGTAAATGCATTTAGTAAGTCGAAAACACTGGAAAACGATCTAGTATTTTCTTTTTCACACCAAAAGTGCCTCCAGTTTTTATAGGAAACTTTATTGTAAATGAAATTGGTCTTTAAACTTAAATTTTATTTGGTTTAACAACTGTTTACCTTGTAAGCTTTTCATTCAATTTTGTGTTTTCAGGAAGACAAATATCACCTGCCCAACCATTGTGAATTGGAATCAAAATTCAAAGCAATATTTTTCATACCTAAAAAAGGTCTGCTATCTGGTGTTCACATGAGAAAGTCTCCTTTATTGAACTCTAGACACTGGAGAAATTTACCTCTGCATTTAACCCATCACTTTGGGGAGCAGTGGGGCTGCCACCATCACTTGGGAGCAGTGTGGGTTTAAGGGTCTTGCTGGGTACTTGCAATCTTATCAGAGCACAAGTTAGTTGCAGAAATAGCTGTAAGGGCCATCGGATAGCATCTCCTGACCTTGAGAAGACAGTTTTTTTTTTATCAATTAATCATCAGTTTCCCATCACTTGCTCTGCACTGTAAAACAAATATATGACATATCTTAAAAGCAAGAAAGCAGAATAAACATTATTAGTTCACTTTCCTCATTCACTGGTCACTTGATAAGGATGTCTTCAGAGTACCAGCTCTAAAATCCTTATTTAAATTCCACTTTTTAGAATTGATAAAGTGCTACAAAATGTATTTTTTCTCTTTGTATAGTTTTTATCCTAAAGCGATTAAAGTCTAGTTGCTCTTTTCAAATGTATGGTTACCATTCTACCTTTAGAGGCTTTTTTTGTTTAACAAACCCATAGTCACATTGTTTTTCTACAGCCTATTCTAAAATAAAGACCTGCTAATATTATTTATTCATGAGAAAATTTGGTTGATATACACGTGCTGTGTGAATGTAAGTGTAAAAAGTTCAAAACATATATTTATAATTTTTCTTTCAGAATACTTGCATTTATGATTATTTAACTGCTCAGTCAATAAAAGGCTGCTTTGGCTTTCATTATCTTATTTATCATACCCATGCCTTCCATCCTGCAGCTGGTCTACTGTAGTTTTAAGAAGTTCTGATGACTTCACACAATCCAACAAATGTATAAATGTCTTCTGTTGAAACCAGGATTTTGGTTCTTCACTCAATATTCCACAGCTTTTTAGTATGAAAAAACCCCCCATCAAATTAGTCTTCTCTACTGTCTCTTGGCTCCTGCAGCAGTTGTCATTGGTTGCTGCTGAGGGCCGTCATGCCTGTACGGTAACCCAGGAGGTCCAGGTGGGCCTGCTGGCCCAGGTGGACCTGCTGGCCCAGGTTTTCCTCTTGGTCCTGCAGGCCCAGTGATGCCGGGTAATCCTACTTGGCCTTGGATCCCTGAAGGTCCTTGAGTCCCAGGTAGGCCATCAATACCAGCGGGACCCATATCCCCTTTCTGACCCCTTTGCCCCTTGGGGCCTTGTAGACCAATTGACCCTTTTGTTCCATTTATGCCAGGGGGCCCTCTGGCCCCACTGGGGCCCGGTGGACCTGATGTTCCCTTGGGACCAAGAGAACCCTTCACACCCATGGGGCCGCGACTTCCTATAGGGCCCCTGTCCCCTTTACTGCCAGTAAGTCCCATAGGTCCTTTTGGACCACTCTCACCACGGTTTCCTTTTGGGCCAGGAGGCCCAGGAGCACCTATTAATGAAAAATTTGGTTATTATAAAATAATTATTTTGGAGCAACAATATTTGTATCAAAAACATATTTACCTTTAAGAATAGTGAAATTGTTTATGAGTTTATTATGATGAACATCAACCAACTTCATCTCCTCCATCACCATTGATAGGTTCCTCACGTCCATATCTAAGCGAACATTCAGCAGCGTGTGCTGTTGCTTCAGAGTGCTGGCCAAGTTAAGGAGCAAGAAAACTGTGGTGTTCATGTTCTGCAAGAAGAAGACCACATATAACGGTTAACAGAAAATAAATAGAGCAATATTTTTAAATTAATTAGATAAAACCAGAATAAAACCTCAGAATATGTTTTAAAAGAAATACAAGCTCTTTTTCTTAACTGCTATATTTGATACACCAAATTCTCATGTTTGCATTTTTTGCAGTTGTTGCTGCTTTTAACCATCTCTTTTGCAAGATATATTTTTCAAAGAAAGTGTACCTAATCTGGAGCTTACACAAATTTCTGTATGGACTCACTGTGCTAATATTCTAGTACTGATCCCTGTGGAGTACCAAAGGGGTCAGTACTAGGACCAATTATCTTTACTATGTATATATATGCTCCCAATCAGTAGAATTATTAGGCAGCATTGGATTAATTTCTACTAATAATTACTATTGTAATTCTTTATTATCAGGAAGTTCACAAACTGTAGTTAAAAGTCTTCATCTGATCCAAAATGCTGCAGCCAGAGTTCTGATAAAATTAAAAAGAGAGGTCATATCTCTCCTATCCTGGCTTCTCTACATTGGCTTCCTGTTAAATCCAGAATAGAATTTAAAATCCTCTGATATGGGAGCTGGCTCGGAGCTCCTCTGCCTGGCTGTGTTTCCTGGACGGGGCTACCTTTTAAATTTGTCTTTGGTATCTCTGCCTCTGTCTCCTTGAACCACAGTCAGCCTCGGCAGATGGCCATTTACACTGAGCCTGGTTCTGCTGGAGGTTTCTTCCTGTTAAAAGGGTGTTTTTCCTCTCCACCGTCAATACAAGCATGCTTAGTGTGAGGGATTGCCTTCGAGTCAATGAGTCAATGTAATTAACTGTTTTTCTTTCGATAGAAAACGTTCAATCAATTTGACAGTATGATCTGGTGAACTGCAAAGTTACTTGAGATGATGTGTTGTGAATTGGCGATATATAAATAAACTGAATTGAATTAATAATTTTTCTCTGAAGTTAATAATATTTTTCATATTCTCAGAACCTGTAAGTCCTCAGTGTGTCTTCCCAGGCGAGTCTTGCAGGAGGAGCTCTCAACATTTATATACTTGTACATGCTCTGAACGTGGAAGACAGTGGCATTGATGCTTGAAGCGATGGTGTCAATTTCCATCTTGATGGAGTTCAGACGCCCATCTAAGGCTGAAAATCGTTCACCTGTTCGATTCTCATAATACCTAAAAGAAAAAAAAGTTTACATTTAATCTAAAGGGATCAAAGTAATTTTCCAAAAGTGTGCATATACATTTAACAATACATATATTCTGGGGGTAAAACTCTCTCAGGACTCATATTTAGTTTACAATTTGACACTGATAAATCCATAGTCTACGAAGCCTAGGCAAAATTTCAACTAAAGAAAATAAATTACTTGTCTCATCATCAGATGAGAACCAATCAGCTTTAAACCACACCTCCACGAAGCCCAATCAGCATCCAGAGTTCATCTTAAAAGGTCTTCAAATCTACTACTCAGTCTGCTACCCAGCCAGGCGCAAGCAGTGGTTGTGCTATGTCTGATTTTTACTCAGATGACCCTTATTCAACCCACCTCTATCCCCTTCTCCACCATCGTAGCTAAAATCCATCTGGCTTTTACATGGTGCTTCTTCAACCTTGTCCCTATCAGAGTGTAATTCCTCCCAGACTCTTACTGCATTCCCCATCACATCTCAATTGGTCCGGCAGAAGAATTTACATAATTTTGAGCCTGGTTCTGCCAGAGGTTTCTTTCCAAAGGGGAGATTTTTCCTTTCCACTGTCACTTAATGCTTGCTCATCATGGACAGGTTCATGCAAATCTGAGTTTATCCAAGATGGATATCTATCTTCCGGGTCCCGAGTGAAGCACTAGTATCAGCTCACTTGGTCTACTGGATCTAACTAATACAGCTCAAGCAGAACATCTCGCCAACCAGCAGTCTATGGCCTGAACCAACTTCATCTATCTCCACTCCACCCCCAGTTTCAGGCCTGGGGGGAAAAATCCCTGTTCTCTTACACCTGCTTATGCATATTAACATAAAATTCAGCGCTAATGTTTCCTGCCAAGGTCTGAGCACCAGTCTTTAAAAAATTGTGTCAATGAAATTATTTTAATTGTCTTTTTCTTTCTGTGTGAGTGTTTCAAATTGAAATATAATGGCTGCAATTGCCAGGGTTCCCGTGTGTGTGTGTTTGAGAGCGAGTGATGCATCTTCTCCTGAGAGGATCTTTGTGGAGTACCTGGGCTGCCTACACAGGTGGAGCTTGTCAGCTTCATCAGAGTGCTGGGATCAAAAGTGCAGCAGAGCCTTCACTCAGTGCTGGATGATTAACATGTAATCTTTCTGACCATCTCTTGTTGAACCCTTTTCTAGTAGTTTGATTATCTCTAGTGAACTTGCCTGAAGTTGCTCAATCCCTGTCCTTGTTGTCTCTAGGTTTTCTCACCATAGGTTTCATAGGGTTGAGTTCACCGACTCACCTTTCAGGGTATTTACCAGCAAGTCACCTGCCTGACCGCTCCACCTGCAATCATTTCCAACCCAGCTCCATCAAAACTCTGTAATCCCATCCATCTCGCACTATCAGAGGTAAACCATCAACCTCCCCACACGGGACCCAGACCATCTTCCCTCCACGGCCCGCTCAAAGTTTTCAGAAGTGAGCTCTGTTTCTTCAAATTCCCTATCCAAGGTTTCTGGCCACAACTATTTTCTCTCTCATTCCAGACGCCACCGTTCATGGAACCTCCTCACACTCCTGAAAGAACTTGAACTGTCTGTTTCTCATTGTTTGGTCAAATCTTTTTTTCCCATTTTAACTGAGTTGATTCTACATGTGGATCAGAAGATTAAACCTGAACATGACAGTAATATGAAATAAATTATGACATAGAAGATATTAAATGTTTAGCTGATATTAAGTTTAGCTGATAAAATGTGTTTGTGCATGTCACCTGGAGTGATACTGAAGATCATGCATGTTTTCTTCGTTTTCATCCATGAGAGTTGTTACATTGTCGATTTGCATCTGGAGGTTCAGAACCTGCAGGAATCGATCAAACAGTTTTTGTTTTACAACCTGGAAGTAACCTATTTTCGAGGGGAAAAACTACTTCACATTGTTGCCTCTCTTATAATTATTCTTTGCACCTTTCACAATACAATTCTAGATCATACGTAGAATGTATTGATACCAGGGAAGTAATGTGCTTCACTTGTTTTACCTAAACCAAAGATGGACTTTACTTTTTTTTCATGTGGCGCAATATGCCTCACATTCTCACTTTTTGCAGGTGCTAAATATATATATATTATAGCTTGTAACCAAGCTATTGATAAAGTCTTTATTCTGTTGAACAAGAATGAACTAAAGCACTGGCCCAGAAATAAAGGAAAACTACCATGTAAGCTCAGAGTTCTTCTGTCTTGCATATTTTTCCTTTTATTAAAGCCTCAAAATGATTGCGTCATTAGCGTTTTATTAGATTCAGATTTGACACACTATTTCTAAATTTGACTCTGCTTTCCCATCCATCTGCATCCAGGCAGCAGGGTTCTTAAAAGGCACCTACTATGTCTCCTTTTAAACAAGTTAGTATATATCTTTGGGCTATACTGTACAAAACATAAGATTTCACTTCTTGCATTCCACCTTGAGCTTTTTTCAGAATTTCCTGTTTTAGGACTCTGTTACTTTTATGCAGTATGCTGTAGCCAATGTTTACCCAAACTCAATGTTTACAATTGCACTTTATGCACTTTGAATCTAAGTCTAAGTCATGCAGTTGAAAATTACTTCAAACAGATGGACAATGGTATAACCGTACATCTTTAGCCGGATGCAGCAAATAAATATTATATTTTTAACGTTAGCTTGTGCTGAATTATACATTTCCAAACAACAATGCCAGACTGATTGAAAACACACAAGAAAATGATTAACTAATGTTGGTTTGTGGGGACAGGGGGCAATAGAACTTTCCTTAAAAGTTCTTTTGGCAAACAAAAAATGTTTTTTTTCCTTTTCAGCAGCCATTGCATAACACATACATCAGGAAAACCAGCTAATTAAACATGTTCCTCTTCTAATAATAATATGGGTGGCGCTCAACTTTGGTTGGAAGGTAACATGCTGAGACATCAAAACTTTTATTTATAATAGGTTCCCTTTAGGCAAAATATGGCAGAACAGGAACAACTTAACAATGTTGCAGCTGCAGCTCTGAGCCAATAGGGAAGGTGGGTTGGTTTAGTAATGGTTGACCTGTGAGGGTAAGGCAATTTAATGGATCACTGGTTATATGTAGTGATGATGGGCAGTCTTGTGTGAACGGCTGGCTGTGTGTGGTGCGGCCAAACAAAACTGTGAGACCGTTGCGTTGTTAACATTTGATGTGGATAAATTCTCTCCACTGACACACAGAGCTCATGTCCACAGAGGCAGAATAAATCATTGGACTTGGTAGAGTCATGGAGCAGTGAACAGGTCATCTGTACATGCCATGCTCAGCTTTATACAATATATTATTTATAAATAACTGGTTGTTAGAGACACTTGAAACTCATTTTAATTTACTTTAAAAATGCTGCTACTTCTATAGTTTGTCCGAATTAAACTAAGGAAGTAGGAAATAAAGAAAAATGACCAAAAATGTGAGTAAAAAAATTTTAAAAAGAGGTGCAACTTTGCATTATGGTACTGCAGACACACATGAGTAAAATAAATGAGATCTTTTCCTCAAAGCAATCATGTCTTCAAACCATTTTCCTTCAGAAATGTACCTGCTTACTTTAAATCTGGTCTTACCTGGTGCGTGAGGTCGTAGATCACCTCAGAGGACATGGCCATTCTTTGCTGATCTATTATGATGCTGCTCTGAAGGGAACGCATTGTTTGAGCGGTGCTGCTGGTGTTGGATTTGATTGCGCTCAAAACGTGACTGTAGTTTTGCCAGTCGCTACTCAATTTCTGGAGGACAGCAGTCTCATCATCTGCTTTTTTTTGGAGGGTATCTATCCACATTGCGCTGATCAAGGGAGAGAGTAAAAAACATGAAACATTAAAGTTTATTTTAGTCTTTCAGGAATGTGTCAGCATATACATGGAAAAAGAGAGCTGTACAGTAGCTTTCAAAGAGCTCTAAATTCCACAGTAGAAAATGTAGATATAAGATATATGCTTTTCCTCCTCCTCTCTCTGCTATTTAATCACCTTATTGCTACCGTTGTGTTAACTTGTTGTGCCATTGCTTTTATATCGTACTGATCCTCGGTCAGAGTTTTCATCTTCTCCTCTGTTTCATCAATCACCTCCTTCCAACCTTGGACCTGATTGGTTAGTCTCTCCAGAGACTGGTTGAGGAGTTTCAGAGACATCAGATGGTTTTGGACTTGCCGTGTCATCTGGTTGCTCGTTGCTTTTATGGTAGTCTGCGTTTGGGAAGCCTGATCCAGTGACTGGGTAGTTCAGAAATCAAAAAGGTCAGACTCATATGTTGTAGTTTCAGTTGTTTCCTGCTTTCATGTATTTGATGCATTTAAAAGTTTATATTTAGGTTTAAAGGTATAGTGTAGGATGCTCTTTTTCTGGGTGGATCATTAAAAGAAGTGGTCCTCCTAAAGAGGGGGGAGTGGCAGCAAAGTGGTTATAGGGCATAGAGCTTGGAATCCTGAGGTTCTGAGTTCAAGCCCCACGAACACAGACTGCCACTCTTGGTCTCTGAGCAAGACGCTCAATCCCCGAATGCTCCCCTGCACCCCCTATGATGGCAGACCACTGCTCCCCAAGGGGATGCGTTAAATGCATTTCCCAGGTTTCTCCAGTGCAAGATCAATAAAATTAAATTATTATTTTTAATTGTCAACCATTCTATTAATATGTTTACGTAAGGTCATCCTATGTGCTTGTCCCCGTTTTCACTTGGTGAGTCTGACATAGTGAAAAAATTGCAAATTGCCTTTTGGACAGTAAGCCTGTATCAGCGATGCAAACAGCAACTTTTAGTGAACGGGGGGGAAATGGGCTCTCGCACACATTTAATAGGCAATCCCTCTTGGGAGCAGCTACAGGGTTGTCCGTGTGCATTTTTTTATTTTTTATTTTTTTATTTGCGAAAATCCTCCACTATACCTTTAAATAGCAGTTGAAACAAAATGTTAAAGCTTTAGCACTTTAAATTTGGTTTCAGAAATGTCATACCAGCTCTTGACCCAAAATCATCTTCTGGATTTCTCCAAATTCTCTCTTTAGCCTGTTGATCTCTTCAGTGTAAATTGAGACATCCAGGCATTCTGAACTGTTGGACACAGAGCTCAGATCTGAGACATGGAGAGAAGAAAGGAGATGAGAGGGGAAGAGTCAAGAGGAAAGAACAGTAACAGCACTTCCTAAGTGGACTTGAATTGGATTGTTCACATTTTAATTGACTAATTTAGAGGTTTTTATAATGTCATTAACCCTCATGATTATGTAAAAAATCTACTCTAGGGTTTCCACAAACTTTAAAATCTAAACTATTAAGTTATGAATTATGAAGAATTGTGTATTTTAATTGAAGGCAAAGACTGCAACTAAAACTAGACAATAAATGTATATATATATATATATATACATTTTTTTAAATGCACTGGAGCCTAGAGCATCTTTCTTAGAAAACAGTCAAGTTGTATAGACTCTGTAAGATCGACCGCACTCTTTCCTGCTGAAATTTAAGCTTATAGAAATGTGCATTTCTTCTTTGAGATAAATACAGTGAAATTACAACTGATTTTTGAAGTCATGTAAAATAGAAATAGAAAACATGATCTTGTTATTCAGTTATATTATTATTAGTTCAGTTTTTCTCAGTTGCTTTGATGCGTTTTTCACATCACTTGTAACATTTGCTCATGTGGTGGAATATTTTCATCCACTATTATTTACACCCTGTTTGAATAAAGATTTTTCACATTATCCATATTTTGTCTTAAGATTAGTTGAGTTCTGTCCTCTAGCATCTTTTTAAATTTTTCCCTATTGATTGTGTTTAAGGAGAGAAGATTTCCATTCTAGTTCTGCGCCAAAACCAGCTAAGAAGGAATGGTGTACGCAAGAGACAACTGACTGTCTCCTCCTCTTCTGTGACGTATAAAATTTTGTGCACATCGTCCTTTGAGGCTTTTTGCCTCTCTAAGAGCAGAAGCCTGCAAGCACTTTAGGACTTTGAATAAACCTGCAAAGACATAGATCGACCTGTCTCTGTTTTAATGAATGGTTTTCTCTCTCTCTCTCTTTGATAAATACAAATTTCACAACACACATCAGTTAGTTCAACTTTTAAAATATTTTCAATAATTTATACACATCATAGCAGCAGTTTCTCATCCCTTCCAACAAATTGCAAATGTCTTTGGACATGCAAAATTTGTTTTCATACAACTATGACATTATTTTTAGTTTATCTTGTGTCATTCAAAATGCACAGGAAAATTATCTAAAAATAAGTAAAAATTTCTTAAATTAAATGTATTTACCCTTAATTTGAGTAGATAAATGAGGTGGTTTGCCACTTGAATTAATATTTTTACTCTTAAAATAAGATAAATTAGATAAAATGCACTTGAAATGAGACATTACAAGTGTATTTTCTTATTTTAAACGTAAATTGACTTGTTCCATTGGCAAAATGTCACTTTTACCTCCTCAATCCAAGAACAAATGCACATATTTTAAGAAAAAATTACTTATCTAGATTTAGATTTTTTTCCAGTGTGAAGTCTTCTCCTGAATGCTCACTGTTTTATAACTTGAGTCATCAAATCCTGAAATGTTAAACCTATCAATATTAGCTGTCATAAAACTTGATAAATTACCCTCTATTCCTTCTTGAACCTTTGTGATCTTCTTATTATACGCTGCTTCCTCTTCAGACAAATTATCCACCTTTTTGAACACTGAAGACAGAGAAAAAAGCATGTTTAAGTGAGGGACTGAGAGTTATGCAGTTAGATCGAAAGATTTAAATTTCCAAAATGAAGAAACTCTCAGTTTTAATGTTCTCAGGAAATGAGTACAACTTTTGGGAAGAACACAGAAAGTTTTAATTTAGCAGAAAACAACAAAACACATTAAGTTTTCATTAACTTACAAAACATGGGAAAATTATTGTTTTACCAGCTGGCCAGGTCTTGAACCCTGAAATATTTCCCAAGAGAGCATTAATAGTTTAGTGGGTGTGATACTCTTGTGTGCATAAGTTTACATGAGGGACAATGCAATGGTGTGTGGTGTATATTTTCAAGCTTTTTCGTCCATTCAAGCTCTGACCCAGGGGACTGATGGAGGTGTAATAGGAAGCTTGCATAAATAAGGATACATTCTTCCACATGTCCAGCACATACCATTTGTCACTTTTTAGTTACAATAAAAATCAAGGTGTGATGATACAATAATCAGGGCTAATGCTGCAGAAAAGTTTGCAGAAAGTGACTCTAGTAGACATATGAACATATTTCTTTCATTTAACTAACATTCTATTTAGAATGTTTTTACTTTTCACACACTCACTATATAGTGATACATAAAACATGAATGATGATAAGCCCAGAATAAAGGTTTTGTTACATTTTGTATATTCATTTTTTTCTTCATCATATTGTGTTAAAATTATACGATCATTATTAATTCCCCTGACCCACTTCAACTTGGCTGATCTAGCTGAAATTTTGCATGTGTAATCATTTAATTCTCCATTGATTTGTTGGCAAATTACAGCTCTGAACTAATTTTGGTTTTTGATTTACAGGTGTTTAAACTGAGTCAACTCTGAAATGGAGCAATTTGAGTGTTGAGCAGTGATCCGGTAATTGTATTTGAAAGGATGCACACCATGGGAAACTTTTGATGAAATGAAGGTTACTTATGGTGATGATGCCCCATCATATGGCCTCACAAGGCAATATGAGGCCATACAAAACACTGCTTGAAGATGAATCAGTTTTTATCTTTGTAAGTCAGGAAATAACTCTGATAATCAATTTAAAGACAGTTTCTAAGATTAGTTGAAAACCACAGTCGAAGAAATAGACAAAAATGTTCAATCTGATCTACGACTTTTGAGTCAACTGCAAAACTTTAAAGAATTTGTATAGTTTGATCAAATATTTTCAAAGGAAATACCCACAAACAATATTTTACTCTAAACAAAGCCAAATATCATTATAATCTGAATCAATCTGGATGGCTGATTTTATTTTAAGCTGGCTTTCCTCACAGGTCTGAGATCTTTCACTGCCTGAAAACCTACAGATCTATGGTGCTTAGCTGCAGCTACGGTGGTCCAAATATTAAAAAAAACATCTGCCAGTGCTGAGTGGCTGTCTGGTAAAAAGGCACCAGGCATGAAAAGAGACTCAATCTCAGAAAATCTAGGCAGCTTGTGCCTTTTTAAAACAAATACCAGCAATAATGAAATAAATGAAACAAGACAGTGTCTGTACAGCGATAGAGGATGGTATATATTGTGTGAAAAAATGAAAATTAAAAAAGTTAATTTAAAACAGAGCTCACCAAGTGATGCCAGCACTGCAACAGTTATGATGAGAAAAGCAACAAAACCATAAAGAACTTTGACAGCCAGCTGGAGAGAGTGGCTCTGCTGACATCTCATACAGCCAACTCTTGAGCGACCTAAAGACACACAAAGGTTAGGTGAATGGAGGTCTTTCTGTTAATAAACAAACTCAAATGAGTTTCCTCCATTCTATATCTTAACTAGGAGGCTGTTGAGTAGAATGAGGGCTTATTTCAAGTTTTCGTTTGGTTTGTACTGTATGTAAAACCTTTGCAGGGTGCTGTTTCTGTGATTGTTGTTTGAGTCTACCCTCTCCTTCTGCCCTCTGATTGGACATATTTTGCCCAGTTGACAAATATATATACCTCTCAAGAACTGCAGCATTATTTTTTTTTCTCGTTAGTAAATCCATTTCTACAGTCTACCTTTAGATCACTCACTGTTTTAATTATAGTAACATTATTTTAAGATTTTCAAAGATGCTTCTGAGCCTCACCTCTGAATGAAGGTATCTCCTCTTCCTCTCCCATAAAGTCCTCATCTGAGCAGTGAAAAAATGTAGATAGCACAGCTTTAGATCGTAATGCTTTATCATTGAAAATACAGACAATCCCTTACAAAAACTGNTAGATAGCACAGCTTTAGATCGTAATGCTTTATCATTGAAAATACAGACAATCCCTTACAAAAACTGAGCAAGAAGAAAGCACCCTCATGCCTTTATTGTTTTCACACTATTTTAATGTTATAGTCTTGGTCCTGTTATGTTTTCTTTTGTGTATTCTGTTTTACTTTGTTCCATATTTTCTAGTTTTTGTGGTTTCATTCTTATTTTGTTGTGTTTTCTGGTTATTTTCAGTTTTCAGGGTTTTTTTTGTTGCCCTCTGCTGCCCTTTTAAGTTCTCCTTTTTTCCGTTGCTCCTTTCTTGTTTCTGCTCTGCTCACACCTGCTCCCAATCTGCTCGTTAGCTTTTCCTTTGTTTCAGTCTCCCATAAATACTCTCTCTGTGCCGTTCTTCAGTGCTGGTTCCTCGTCAAACTTCCTCCAACTCCGTCTCTCTGAGCCCTCCTGCTTGTGATAGTGATCCCCCTGATGTCTCCATGCTTTCTGGTTCATTTTGACTTTGTTTTCATTTTTGGATTCCTGGTTTCCTGTTTGTTTGGACTTTGTTTTTTTATATTAGGATTTTGGATTTCCCGCTTCTGTATTAAGTTTACCATTTCATTAAATCATCAAGAAATTCTCCTTTGCCTCTGCATTTGGGTCAACAAACCATAACCAAATCCTGACAGTTAAGTCATGATTTATTGTAAAACAGATTCACAAAATACTCTTTACTATAGATAGTATATTTAGATATTTTATATAAATTGTTTAAATTGAATGTACAAATTAAAAAAATGAGACATGCCAATATATTCACAACAATGACGTAGCTTAGTATTCTATTTTAGTATCTTTAGCTGCGGTCCTCTTGGGTGTGTGTTTTACAAGTCCTGGACTACATTTTAGATATTCCCAATCTCAAGGTCATTTAAGTCGGATGGCCAGTGTCAGTAAACAGCCAGTTTTATGTCTTTCCAAAGATGAAAAGTTGGATTTTAGTCGTGTCTTGTTTTGCCAATGTAGCTCTGGGAGATTGTGTCCCAGAGCTATTTAATAGCCCTACTTTACAAGTAGACCAATATGACTGTCACTATAAGGTTCTGCTTAGCAATTATGTACTTACCAACTGGTTAAAATGTTTAAGGACATTTATTTCGCTCCTAAAGCCACCCATGATCTTATCTTTATGCTTTAGGTATTTTTCTTGTTGGAAAATAAATAACATCCCTGGACTGTTTTCTACGGTAGGTTTTTGTACTGGTAATAGATTTCCGTCATAGTTGCCTGCTGTTGTCATCTTGACATCTATGCAGATCAGTCAATATGTTCCTGTTAAGCAGTGTCCTTTTTAGTTACAGGCACACAGCTTAGAGTTCAGGCCAAATGAAGAAGAGAAGTGAATTTTGTACCTCCTTCTCTGATATTCTCTAAAGTGTTTTTTGTTTTTTCTTTTCAAAATTTCTACTAAGTGCCATGTCTGTTTTGCCACTTCGCTCAGGCCTAACTAATGCTGTATATTAGGAATGGTTGACCATCTGGATTTTACTTCATAAGATAACTTTTCTTCACAAGATAGCTTCCCTATCAGCATTTGGTTAGTGATTAGGTCAATGACAGANTGACCATGCAGTAATATCTTGGGATGTTACCAATTATTAGAAACTTTTTCCATTTCCAATTATTAATTATCATGTTTTTCAGGACTCTAATATTATATATATATATATATATATATATCTCCCAGCCAATATTTTTGGATATTAGAGTAATTTTAGAGTGACAATTTCCCGAATTCTATTTCTATGTCAGCATTAGGCAATACATGCATGCATTTGCTGGTTCATTAGTGCGTTCAGCAGCCATACCTAAGATGATGTGAGGCCCATGCATTGCTCCTCCCTGTATTCTTAAGGTTTTGTTTCATTTGTTAGTAAACGTTTCTTTTTTTCAATTGATATTTGTGATAAATGTGGGATTTTTGTTAATAGATGGGGGAAACAAAAGCAGCATCAGCTTCAAGAATGAGCCTCAAACAAGTCAGGAAAACAAATAGGGTGTCGATTAGACTGATGCCAAAATAATCGACATCTTAAAAAAAAAATATTTTTTATCTCTGCTTAATACTGCTATAACAATTTCCACATCCTTCCCCAGCTTTGAAACCATCGCAATGTCTAAGGTCAATACATGGTCCAAACAGCTGTAAGACTGAGCTGTATCAAAGCAGAAATTATCAATGTTGAATTTCTGCTCTAAAATCATTTTTTTTGGGGGGGGACAAAGAAATTGTCAGTTTAGATTTCTGAGTTCTTGTTGCTATTTACATTCTTTACCTTTGAATAGCTGGTTTTCATATCCACCATTGTTGTCTGCAGAACAGAGACAAAAACAAACACAACACATGTTAAAAAATGAAGTTGAGACCACTATTTTTTTTTTCAACCTCCAACCACATAATTAGTTCTATCATAAACCACACCAGAGCAGCTGCCTCCTCATGTCTCTCTATTATAACCCAGCATGTGACCCCAGCCTTGTTTTCCCCGGCTGAAATGTTTTCTGCGAGCTTTTCCCACTCAGCAGAAAGCAGGAAAGCAGCTGTTATGTGTGTTGATTCTTTTGGGACACTTGCGTGTCTTTAGAGCCTGAGGAGGCTGTCATCATAACTATTGCGAAAAACCACAAGGCCTAATAAACCACATAGTCACTTTTTATTAGAGGGTTCCAAAACAGAACTGACTTCAAATTTTAGTAGCTGTAGACTTTATCAATGTGAACAACTGGAGACCATCCAGCTCCTCACCTGAGGCTGTGACGGTGCAAAACC